AGGGCAGGGGAAGGGGGAAAAATAAGAACCAAGAGAGATTATGTAAAGGTGCAAATTTCCAATGATGAATGTCATTATATTGTACACCTATAATGTACCAATAAAATTAATTAAAAAAAAATAAAGGCAGGGTTAGAGCATCAGAAGACAGAGCTAAAAGGCAGTCGAAGACGCTCCTGTGAGGTTTTGCCCGTGTCCTGCGCCCAGCAGCTGTGCTGGGCCACAAAGCCTGGGGTTTCTGGCATTTTTCCCCTCAGCAGTTTTTCACACAGCGTTCCAGGTGGGCAGGGGTCCGGATGGAATTGAGACCCGAAATAAAGTGTAAATGCTTTTGTTTTCATCTTCTGTCACCTTTTCAAGGTATTTATCCAGAAATCCCTGACACCTCTAATAGGTTAATTTCAACTGTCCAGGTAGATAGAGCACTTATTCTACTTTGCTTCAATCTGGGGTAAAGAAGTATGTCTACTCCATTTGGAACCAAAAGGGAACCCTGAGTTCCCGAACGCATCTCTACCTTTCAGAGCAAAACATGCACGAGGAGGAGGAAGCCCTGGAAAACCAGTTAATAATAAAAAAGACAACAATCACTGCCATGCTTTACTGGACAAATAAGGGTGTTAAGTAAGATCTACAGGAGGGCACTGGGTTGGTCTCAATGCTTGCACTGGGCCTCACAGAGTGAAGCAAAGTGGAATTAATGTACCTATGCTACAGCTCCAGGCCACCAAGCCCAGCAGGTTGTTTACCTTATCTTCTCAGAACCAGGAGAGATACCAGACAAATCCCACGACCAGCCAGTTTAGCCAGCCTATAAGGAAATCCCTTCTGCTTTAACCTTTACAAGGAAAATCACTTGGAAACGACTGTCATCTTTCTGTTCTGCTTGCCTCGCCCCTTTCCGTCTATGTTTAGGGCCAACCGCCTCTGCTCTGCCCAGCCAAACCCTCAACCTATTTTATAGACTGATGCTGGCCAATTCTAGAATCACATTTTCAACCCAAATAAGATCTTCACGTTAGATTTCTTGTAATTTTGTCCTTTGACAATTGTTACGCACCAAACACTGCTACAGTTTACATACGGTCACTTCTAATCCTCCCGGGGTTCCTACTAGGTAAGTCTGATGATTTTCACTTTACAGATGAGGAACAGGCTGTAAGCACCCTGAGAGTGAACAGCTGGTCCCTGCTGCCAGGGTCCTCTCAGTGTGGCCAGCTTCTCCTGGACAGTGGGATGCCCGGGCTCTTCCGGTCCCCGAGTCCTCTGTCTGTTACTCACTGCAGTTATAATAGTTGCTGGCAGTGGAACACCCACACTTCCCGTGTGTTGGGCACGCTCTTCACAGAGGCGATTGCTAATTCCTTTTCCCCGTTTTTCAAATAATAAAGTAAAGCCTAGACAGGTTAAGGTTCCTGCCTGATGTCACAAGAGGAGCAAGTGACAGAGTCAGGTGTGTAGCTGCCTCTGACCTCAGCACCCAAGCTCTGTCCGCCCTGTTGTCTGCTCCCTTCTAGATGCAGCTGGAAAACCCAGAGCCTGGGTAGTCCCTGAATTTTGCCTTCTGTGGCTGGAAAGAACCCAACATTTGATTTTGGTTTTAGAGTGATCTTGTTTATCCGGTGTCCACTGGGAATTTCTAGAGATATAATCATCCATACAACTTCCTTCTCCTAGTGGTTTGCCAAGGGCACTGGTGGCTGGGTCCCCAAAAGCCACACGTTCCCTAAGAGGCACCAAAGCCTTCTCTGGGTGACACAGTGGAGCTTGAAGGGGGAAGAAGGCAAACAGAAGATGTTGACACTTCCTCCTCTCCATCGCCAGCCTCTTGCTTTTATCAGCAGAGATCTCAAAAGGCCTTGAGATTGTTTCTGCTGGGTCTTGAAGTGGGGTGCACTTGCATCACTGGGCATGGGGTGGGGTGGGGGGAAGGCAAAGCAGTGCTCATGCTGGTCAGGGGGAAGGAGCTTCCGCCTCACCTTGGTAAATGTGAGATTCACAGATCCACCAGGGAAACTCAAGAGAAGGTTGGATTTTCGGAAGCCACAATTGCCAGAGGCTTTGGTTGTGTTGGGGTCGATGTTGAAGTATCTCTGAGGTGAAAAAACCTAAACCGGAAAAGATAGGTCAGCTCAAGGAAAGGTAGAGGAGAGCCATGGGAGGGTGGGAAAGCCCCGGCTAGCACATGGCCAAGAGGGGGCCCCCTGAGGACTGCAAAGTCCCAAGATGGATGCCACCCTCTCACTTCTAAACTCAAGCCCAGTAGCTTGATTTTAGTTCCCCCATGAGAGGAGCGGCCTACCTTCCTCCTCAATCTTCTTGCTAATCTGGATTTTCATATCAATATCACAGTGGGCTGGAAGCATGGGATCATCTGATTCAGATTTTTTATCTCCCAGGAAAAGAGCTGAGGCTCTGAGGTCGTGTACAGCAGTCGGGTTGGACTGGGCTCGCTCAACCCTCCCCAACACTCCGCCCATGTGCTGGAAGTGTGGTGTGTGCTTGTGGACATTTTCACTGTGTGTGTCTTCCCTCTTCCTATGTTCACATGTGCTCCAAAGCATATTCACTTTGTGTGTGTGTGTGCGTGCTGGAGATCAAATCCAGGGCCTCACACATATGACACAAGTACCCCACCATTGACCCCACCCAGGCCCATATTCATCCCATAATGGAGCTCCTTGGGAAGAGATGAACTCCGCTGTTTATTTTATTTAAGGACAGGATGCAGGGGAATGCCCATTCCCGGCAAGGCAAACTCCACTCAGGTCTTTTTGAACATAGCGCTAACAGTCCCAAGGCCCCAGCTTACCGACTTTGTTTCTTGAACAATCAGCTCTATCCCCATCTCTGCTTTTATGCAGAGCCTACTTCCGTTTAGAACTTGATAAGTTCCGGTCTTGGCAGACGATGGCTGAGGCACAAGGGTAGCCCCAGGAACTGTGGTGGCAGGGGAGGCTGTTCTTTGGGTGCCATTGTGTGTGGCTGTGGAAGTTCCAGGGGAGGCTGTTGGGGTGCCATTGGGTGTGGTTATAGAAGTTCCTGGGGAAAGGGTGGGTGGAGGAGGTTTCTGACCGCCTGTGCTTTTGTGTGGTGTTGTGAACAGCGTTTTGGAGGGAGTGGACTGGCTCCCGGGTTGGGTGGTTTTCCACGTCGTCGTGTGGCTGCCAGTGGATGGGCTGGCTCTGGGTGTAGAGCTTGGAGAGGACCGGGGTGGCTGGGAATGAGGAGCCAAACTGGGGCCGAGGGTAGCTTCAGTAATTGGAGGAAGTGTGTGTGTGTTGTTTGGGGTGGCCAGGGTGTAGATGACTGGGCTGGAGGATGAGGGACTTCCTGGAGTTTGTGAGGTAGTTGTGATTGTGTGTGTTGGGTTCTTGGAGGTTTTCCCGGCTGTTTTTGAGGTGGTGTGACTGCCTGTTGAGCTGGCTGCGGAAGTTTTGTGTGACACTTCCTTCGTCAGTTGCAGGAGAGGGTTGGCTGTGGCCTGTCCGGTTGCGGCTGCAGTTGGTGGAAGACAGTTTCTGGTCCCTGGAAATGCTTTTACTCTTACTTGATGACCACCATGCAAGATTACTGTAAAGTAAGAGAGAAAACATTAAGACACTAACTAGCTGTTTACAAGTTTTCTTCCTCATTCCTGTTTCAGTGTAAACATATATATTTAGACGTGGGGGAAATTTACAAGGCTATGACAGTGAAATGAAGATGATCAAAAATTCTACTATGAATGAGACTATTGTAATGTTTTGGTGGCACCCATGGTATTTACAGGTCTACGCCTACTTCGGACATTTGTCTGTATGCAGCTCCTTTGCCTTTGTGGGCTGTGGTTCTAAAACACACCAAAGTGATCACGCTCAGCTAGATATCTAGTGTCAGCGTCTCACCATTTCCCACGTTCACGTGTGAAACCAGACAATCACCATAACATAGTGCATCTGTGGTGAGCTGCTAGAGCCAGGGCAGCGTGGATAACAGTAATAAAGACTTACAGGGTTTTATTGTTTTCAGACTCATCAAACCCCAGGTTTGAAAGGTGTCTTAAGGGTCATTGAGTCCAAGCTCTCATCACTCAGTGAATTGCGTCTGTAAATCTTCACTGCGTGTATATCCAATCAATGCCTCCTTGTCCCCAATGACAGGAGACCTACTTCCTAACAATGGACTCCTTTCCATTTTTTATCTTATCACTCATTATTTTTCTAAATATATTTACTAAACTAATCACAATTCGTAATTATGCATGGGAGTTGTATTAAAATATTTAATACTTAGTCTGGTATCAGCAGAATTTCAGCCCTGAAAAAAACACTTACTGGTTTATTGTTTTAACTCTTTTTTGGGGGGTGGTGTACTGGGAATCAAACTTAGGACCTTGCTCTTGCCAGCCAGGGGAGATGCCACTGAGCTAAGTCCCTGGCCCTTTACTGGTTTATTGTTGACTGTGTACCCATTAAAAGCTACCTAAAGGTAGGAACTGTGGGTATAGTTTTCAGTGTCAGTCCCTAGGACATGTGCAGTGAATGGGTTGGATGAATAAATAACTACCTGGAAAAACGCAGATGATAGCTTTGTAGACCCAGCGTTGTCAGAAGACCCAATAGACTTGGTTTCGGTGAAAGGCACCAGGACCACTGAGCACACGTGGGATATCTACTGCTGTCATAGGTTCTCTCTGGGGCATCCTTTTGAGGATAAAAGCCCCCTGGCTCTCTCTCAGCCTGAATGGATCTGTCTTTGCCTCCTCCCGGGCACAAAGCAATCCAGAGAAGTGGACAAAACGGAGCTGATGGCCTGGATCGGGCCCCTGGGCCGCAGCGCTGGCCCTTCAGTTTTGTGGTTTTATTGTATTTATTCACTCTCACTGGAGCCGTAATAGCAGGTGTTGGGCTTGGGAAATCACATGGGAAGGGAAAGGAGATGGCGCTGTGCTGATGTTCACAAAATCCAGATGCTCAAATCCAAGTCAAAGAACCCACAAACCCCTTTCAACCTGTCTCTTCCAGCCAATTCATTTCTCAGTGGTTACTTTCCCCATATTAATAAATAAAAATAAAAATCCCACGTTGCTTTGATGCTTACTACATGGGGCCTCAAGTTAAGGGTTGTTTTTTCTTTTTTAATTGACTTTTCTCAAAAACCCTCTAATGGGAACTACCTTTAGGTATCTTTCAAATAAGGGAACTCAGGCTAAGAAATTCCATCAATTTGACCATCATTACACAACTCAGCAGTGTTGGAGTGGAGCCTTGAGTCCCTGCAGATCTGAATCTAAGCCTGTCCCTGGATGTGGGGTGGTGGAGGTAGAGCGTGTCACCATGAAGAATGGTGAGGAGGAGACAAGACAGAGGACAGGACAGGAAGGTGTCTTCCCGAGACCCCCATTCACAAAACCCTCACAACACTGGTGCTCGCTGAGGACTTCAAATATTCATGTGTTAAAATGGTGATTATTGGGCCTGGGATTTAGCTCAGTGGTGCCGCCCCCTGCCTCAAAAACGCAAGGTCCTGAGTTCCATCCCCAGGACTGGAAAAAAAAAGAAAAAAAAAAAGATTATTTTCCAGAAGAAAAATTCTGACTTTCTGCCCTGTAGTTAAAACCTGTGGATTATTTCTGCACACTTGGTTTGCAAAATGGGACAGACAATATAGCACTAGTTTAAATTGCTTTGGATCCCCTTTTAAAAAGATATACTATTGCCCTTGTTGTTTTTGCTGTCTTCTGCCACCATGAACTGGTGCCCTTGCCATGGGTCACTCTGTCCTAGAGCCAGCTGATTATGGACTGAAACCTCCCAGCACTTGGGAGCCTGAGGCAGGAGGATCACTAGGAATTAATTCGAGGCCAGCCTAAACTATATATTGAGACTCTGTCATGCCCCGCCCCCCACAAAAAAGAAAATAGGAAGATGATAGGAAACACGGAAAATCTGGGTGCCTCACTGTTAAAACTTAGTTCCTTGGGCTGGGGATTTAGCTCAGTGGTTCTGCCACGTGCCTCACAAGCGCAAGGTCCTGAGTTTGATCCCCGGTACAAAAAAAAACCCCACAAAAACTAAGTTTCTTAAAAGGTTTCACTCAAGTTAGATAAGAGAAAGTCTAGAAACTTTCCTTTGAGCAAGCAATAATCTATTAAATGAAATAATAAAGTTTTCTACACAGTGGCAACAAAAGCCATAAAACAATAACAAAGTTATTTTTAATGACATTAAGCTATTTGCAATGTTGTTTTTTTTGGGGGGGGTACCGGGGATCGAACTTGGGTCCTTGTGCTTGCGCAGCAGGCGATGAAACCACTGAGCTAAATCCCCGGGCCCCGACATTAAGCTATTTAAGACTACTTTTTTGTTTCTAAATACATAAGTAAATTTCTAAATAAATAAATTTTTTGTTTCTAAAATATTCATGTGGATAAGTTAAATGCAAAATCTTGGGAGTTACAGAGTTTATGAGCTGTAAGTTTATGATTTCATAAAATCACCATATGTGGGACATTTATGGCCATATTGTAGGACTTCGACAAAGATTTTCATTTCAAGATTGCAATAGCTTCATTGTAACAGGTTGTGCAGATTTATTTTCATATTCTGTGTGGGATAAACCTGAGTTGCTGCTTCCTTTGTCAAGAACCCAACCAGAACCCTACTAGGTTTAAACTATTACAACAGAGAAAGAAAGTGCATTCCCAGATGTGGTTCCCCGGAATGTCTTGCTGTGAAAAGCTGAGCTGGAAACCACTTGCCTGCTCTCTGGGGGAGACAGACGACTGCATCCCCACTGTGGTCCCACCGGGCATGGCTGATGTACGAGCTAATGAAAATCTCACCTGAGCAGAATTTCCTAAACTGAGTGGCACGACCTTTGCAACGGGGACCCTTCCTAAGGTCACACACAGCTCCTTTATCAGCAGTGGTCAATGAGCTCAAACAAAGAGGAAAGCAGTACTAGGTCCTTTACAAATGAACAGCATCCCACACAGGCCAAGAAGACTCTCAGGACCCTGTGGGAGGGTGCTTGGCATGGAGGAAGTCATGGTAATCATGGTGTCCGGGTTTGGGATGAGCAGTGGGAGTGGTTGCTAGAGTTTGGATCTAGAATTTATCTAGAATCTCTGTTACCTGAAGGCCCATGCGTTAAAGGCCTGGTCCGCAGCTTGGTGCTATTAGGAAGTGGTGGAAACTTTACAGGTTGCGGGGTAATGAGAGGTGGTGGCGGGCAGCATGAGACCCCAGTTTCTTTTTCTTTCTCTCTTTAGTTTTCTGGCCATGAGGTGAACCATTCTGCTCCAGCACCTACTTACACCCTGAGCTCCAGCCACGATGAGTTGCTACGGGGGACCCAGAGCAAGAGGGCCAACTGGCCATGGACGGAAGACTCTGCAACTGTGAGCCAAAATAAATGTTTTTCTTTATACATTGATTGCCCTGCTACGGAAAGCTGGCTGGGCAGGCAGGTAGACCAGAAGTGCCAAGTTCACATGTGTGTTAGAGATCAAACCACTCCAGGAAATACAGTTCTTTCTTTTTCTTTTTTGGTTGGGAATCAAACTCAGGGCCTTGTACTTGCCAGGCAGGCGCTGTGCCACTGAGCTATACCCTGGCCCCTAGGATATACACTTCTATAGTCCTCTCCTCCTCCTCTCAGACCCTCCCTTCCTTACCCCCTTTAGGGGTGTAGGGTACAAACGATGGGCAGGTGGGTAGATAGTGGGTAACCATGCTGTGTGCATTGTTACACATCCAGATAATTCATACACTCGTGAGGCACCAGTGACCCTCGGGAATAACACAACATTTCCCCAAATCTGTGCATAGAACCACACTTACATCCGACCTCTGTCAAAGCTGGGCAGTGTTTAAACAGCTGAGATTCGTCAAGGTCAAGGTCAAGGTCACCAGCTCTCTGAGGCCCACAGAGGGCAGCAAGGCCAAGCTGGCTCATGCTCTGTCTCCACCACCCTCTGCTCAGAAGCACAGCCCCACCTCCACCCCAGACCTTGCTGTCCAGGATTAAAACTGCCCTGGGATTGATCCTCTGCCAAGACTCTCAGTGCCTCTGTGGGAAGAGATGTGAGAAGGTTTTGGTTCCTCTGGAACCCGCAGACAGTGCTGAGAGATGAGTCATCATAGTGTCCCAAGGAAAGTCAGTGACCACACAGGGCTTAGCTGACCTCTTCTCTAGGGTTGCTCTTAAAAGTCCCTTCCCATCCAGACCTGGGTTGGTTTCTGTCACCTCTAATGCACAGGTGAACAGAGGAAGGCTCCACGCCTGACACTTGGTAGGTCTGAGGGGCTGCGAGCCTCGTTGAGGTGGGCACATCAACTGTCCACACTCCTGTCTGTGACAGCATGAAGGAACTACAGTTGCCCCAGCTATCCCCCTACTGGGGATCTTCCCAAAAGAATTAAAAGAATCATACCACAGTGACATATGTGCATCCATGTTTATAGCAGCACAGTTTGTAATAGCTAAATCTTAGAAACAGCCCAAGTGCCCATCAACTGGAGACTGGATAAAGATGATGTGTTTTGTTTTGTTTTTTTTTTAATAAAATGGAGTACTACTCAGCCATAAAATATGAGAAACTAGAGACATTTATAGCTAAGTGGATGCACATTGAGGCCATACTCTTAAGTGAAATAAATAAGACACACATGTGTAAATACCGAATAGTTTCTCTGGTGTGAAAAACTAAAAGTGTAAATAAGGATCAAAATGTACAATTAATAATGTGAAATAGGAAGAAAAGGTCTAAAGGAGTACGAGAAGTGGGAGGGGTAAGGGAAAGGAAAGAAGGGAAAAGAAAAATATGAGAAAAGAGATACAGTCTCCCCAGGGTGCCATGAGAGTATAAGGCTGATCAAAGGTGCTCAAGCACCTGGGTTGCCTGTCTCTCTAGAGCTCTTCTGCTTTTCCTTTTTCAGCCAACCTGAAACTTGTATGTGATGGCTGGAGTTCTAGCAGACATCCAGAACCATGAGGCAGCCTTGAAGGCTGAAGCCACACCAAGCACAGTGGGGAGCTGATGAGGAGCCCCTACCCTAGAATGAATGCATCTAAATTCCTCTGGACTTGTTTTCACGTGAGAAACAAGCCTTGTTTAATCCCTGTCATTTGGGGCTTCTTGCTTTTGTGCAGCTGAATCTAAAGTTAACTGATATAAATCCTCTCATCTTCTGGAGGAGGAATAGAACATTTCTTCTTGAGTGCCCCAAAGAACACCAAGTTAGAATTCTGAAAGTGCAGGACAAACAAAACCAGCTTGGATGAGAGTAGCAGGCATGGCCCTTCACATCACTCCTGTGACAATCCTAACATTCGTGTCACAACCAAGGGCCACCGGATCTCCCCACCTGTGTGTCAGCAGGTGGCGTGGACAGAGCTGGTTCTGTCCCACTCACCTAGGAGGAACTGTGGATTGACAGTGAACTTAGGAGCAGGGACAGAGCAACAGCGCCCAAGAGGACTCAGCGAGCCCTGGGAGAAAATCCTCAGTGGAAGCATGAGCTCCGGACATCCCATAATCCTAAACCCAGCTTCCCAGCAGCCTCTGGGAGCAGAAATGCAAGGGTAACATATTTTAAAAAAATATCTGATGCCCTGATTTGAACCTCTGTGAAATGGAGCTGCTGGTCCCACCAAATCTGATGCACCTTCACAGTTCACCGTGCACACGACACAAACAGAACGCTTCCAGTTGAGAATAAACAGGAAAAGCAAGACAGGAAGGCTTTGCCCTGGCGACAGAGTGACAGCGCCATTTCTGGGCACTGGCTTAGTTCTCCATCTCCCAGATCCAAGTGATTTCTACAAACATCCCCTGATATGATGTCCGGGACGATGCTGGTGCCAGGGACAGAGCCTGGAGAGGCCTCGGGAAAGCTGAGGAGGGAGCAGGTTGGAGATGGGCTCTAGCTAAGCACCCAGGTAGCAGAAACCATGGCCAGGGGCACCAAAGCCACTTAGATTTGAAAGGACCAGACACAGCAGGGCCACCACGGAAAGCAGTGTCTTTCACTCACCGGCCAGGGACAGGAAGAACACTGCCACTGCAGAGAGCTGGGGCGACATGACGGGACGCAGGGCCAGCTCCGTGTCCTGTGCTCAGTCGTCTGAGCCGCCCACGCCGGCTAATTCCAGGGCAGGTCCCCGAGCACCAGGAAGACCAGCTCTGGCCCTTCAGCCACAGCGGCAGAGAAGCTGGAGTCCTCAGGTTATGAGAAGTAGCTGCAGGGCCCGCCCAAGTAGTGTCACACGGAGGGAAACCACAAGAGGCCCGGAGGGAAAGAAGGAATTTCCTCTCTCCAGGAGTGTTGGGAGCAGCCAGTGGGGCTGGGGCACAGCGAAAGACACCTGGGATGGGGTCTCCTTTTCCCCTAATGGCTTGGATCCCTTTCTATAGACCCAGAGAGGCTTGTCAGCTGGGAGGAAACCAATCCCTCAGTGATAGGGTTGAGCAGAAGTTTCAAAAGCTAGATGCAGTTGCTGAGTGTGGTGGGGCACACCTGTGCTCCTAGCACTTGGGAGGCTGAGGCAGGAGGATCACTGTGAGTTCAAAGCCAGACTGAGCTACATAGTGAGACCCCGTCTCAAAAAAAAAAAAAAAAAAAAAAATTAAGTAGCTCCTATTTGCCAGGTGTTCTTATTCTGTTGAGGTCCAGCAGCTACTCCATGCACCATTGGTATTATTGCTGCCTCCTTTCATAAATGGGTAAACTGAGACAGAGGTCAAGTGACCTGCCCAGAGTCACGTAGATAATGGGTGAAGAAGCTGGGCTGTGAACCTAGGATTGGGAATGTAGATTTTTAAACAGTTCCTACTTTGAAGAGGAGCCCTAGGCTATGTCACCTCTTTCTTCCTGCTTACTGCCTACTTGGGAAACATTTCTCAGGTGACCGATCAATTGTTCACTGCCTAGAGCTACGCTAGATAAGGAATGGAGGTAGCTTTATGGTGGCCGACCTTGGAAGGGCTTTGAAGGTCATAGAGGATTTGAAGAATCAAAGAATAGTAACACCACCGCCACCACCAAAAATAATTTCCATATAAGGATTTCCTCCTGTGTGCTTGACCCTGTGTCATGCGTATGACAACTCTACAAGGTCAAAAATTTAAACCCCTATTTTACAGCTGTGGAAACTGAACCACTGAATATCACAAACAGCATAAGATTTGAACTGTGAGGCCAGGGATTTAGCTCAGTGGTGCTGCCGCCTGCTTCAAAAGTGCAAGGACCCGAGTTCGATCCCCGGTACAAAAAAAAAGATTTGAACTGTGGCCTAGCTGGGCTCTGTAGTTTCTGTCCTTTTGAGGCAGGAGATTAGGCTGTGGCAGAGCTGGTGTGGGAAGTATATGTGACCTGTTAATTTACCGCAGTTCCCAGAGCCCTGCACGAGCCCTTCTCATGGGAACTTGAGCAGGTTTGTGACAGGGACACCCCCCCCCCACTCCCGCCAAGCTTGCTAGCATTTTTTGGTGTTTGTGTGCTTTTTTTTTTTTTTGGTACTGGGGATTGAATTTGGGTCCTTGCACTTGTGAGGCAGGCGCCGGAACCACTGAGCTAAATCCCCGGCCTGGAACATTACTTCCTGTGTACTTATTGGGCATTTGTACTAAGTGTTCTTTTTTTTCCCTTTGGTACCGGGGATCGAACTCAGGTCCTTGCTCTTGCAAGGCAGGCGGCAGAACCACTGAGCTAAATCCCTGGCCCAGGGCCTTTGTACTTTTCTTGGAAAATATCTGTTCCATTCTTTTGCCCATTTATTTATTTATTTTTTTAAAGAGAAAAAATTTTTATTGCCATATAAAATGTGCTTATAAAATGTCCACAGAAGGCATGTAATTTTTGACTGCAATATAAATTTATTGGGAATGTTATTCATCATCTAGTGCCACCTAAAACATAATATAAACAATGAGTTATATTCTAAAACAAAAACATCGCTGATTCTCAGCAATCATTGGTTTAGTAATAATTAGTTTCAGATTATATAATCACATCATATTCTGGAATATCCATTTACTTTCACGTAGTGTAGTGGAATTTTGAGTACAATTGTACATGAATCATACAGGAAAAACATTCACTAGTAAATTATTTTATATTGTCATGACAGGTAATTGTCCTGACTGAAAATTACAGCTTCAGCTATGGTCTACAACATAACTCCAGGATTCTTAATGCAATAATTTGTGTGTGTATGTATCTATTTGTGCACCCATGGGAAAAAAGCATATCTTTAATAAACAAGTACAACATTATTGTTGACTATTCTGAAAGTTTAAATAGTCTAATTATTTGTAAACAAACGAAAATCCACACAAATACTCTTAATTTTATCTTTAAAAATCTGTCAAACCATAATTATATGCTTTACTTCAACACACATGGAATTTCAGAAAGGTGCATGTATTACTTTAGATATTAAGGTTTAGCACTATGAAATGTGTATTTTTACTATTTGTTTTATGCAGCATGAAGTTTAGAAAGAAATTCCAAATCCTGGATACCCACAGTTCACTCAGAAAATTTCTCTGAGTTATGGCTCTGCAGCAGGTTTAGTAGATTAAATATGAAGTGTTCTAGCTCCCTCTATTTCAAGAGTCAAAGAAATATGAGGCTCAAAGTCTCTCTACCTTGTAAGTGAAGATGCAAAGCTTTAGAGGAAAGTTAAAAATGTTTTGAAATAAGATATTAAAGGAACAAGATTCATAGGTAAGAATTTACCTGTGTTAGGCTGTTTAGTACTAGGACTCCAAAACAATTTTCAATTTGAGTATTTGCTAAAAAGTGATAAAGAACTCAATTTGCCTATAAATGGTTTTGGAGAAAAAAGTTCTGAAACTTTTTCAACATTTTCGTTTGTTTCCTTTAGAATGATAGCAATTTAACTCTTTAATTTGAAAACATTTATCCTCACCATACTTAAAATGAAATGATTTACTCTGAAACGAAACAATTTTTAAAGTACTAGAAAAAAGAATTGACTGTTTAAAGTCAATGTCTTTTGCCCATTTATCGATCGGGCTATTTCATTTTTGGGTGTTAAATTTTTCAAGATCTTTATATCAATCTTCTGTCAGAACAGCGGCTGGCAAAGACTTCCTCCCGAGCTGCAGGCTGTGTTTTCTTTGGCAGCTGCCTTGCTTGCTGTGTAGAAACTTTAATTTGCTGTAGTCCCATTTGTTGATTCTGCTATGACTTCCTATGGTAGTGGAGTCCTATTCAGGAAGTCTTTGTCTTTACCTAAGGCTTCAAGTGTTTCCTGTATGTTTTCTTTTAGCAGTTTTAAAGTTTCCAGTCTTATACCTATATCTCTGATCCACTTTGAATTGATTTTTATACAGGGTGAGAGATAAGAATCCAGTTTCATCTTCTACATCTAGAGATGCAGTTTTCCCAGCACCATTTGCTAAAGAAGCTCTCTCTTCTCCAGCATATATTTTTGGCTTCTCTGCAAAATTGGATGGCTGAAGTTGCATGATTTTCTGTGTCCTCTGTTCTGTTCCATTGGTTTATGTGTCAATGCCATGCTGTTTTTCTTAGTGCCATGCTGTTTTTGTTACTATGACTTTGTAGTATAATTTTTTGTAGTATAATTTGAAATCAGTTTTTTTCCTTTTTTTCCTTTTCTTTTTATTTTTTTTTTGTTGTTTGAGACAGGGTCTCGGTATGTAGCCCAGGCTGGCCTTGAACTCACAGTGGTGATCCTCCCCTTCAGTCTCCTGAGGGCTGGGATTACAAGTTTGTGCACCATGCCTGGCCTGAAATCAGGTTTTATGATGCCTTCAACCTTACTCTGTGTGTGTGTGTCTGTGTGTGTGATTTTTAAAAATATTTTTATTTTTGTCAGTACACGTTTGTAGTACATAATCGCATTCATTGTGGGGATTTGATACATGCATATAACACATCTTAATTCTTTTTATGTCCCTTTCTGCTCCCCTCCCTTCCCCCTTTCCCCATTTCTTGGTCCCTTCCCATTTCCAAAAGATCTCTCTCCTGGTTTCCTATTATCTTTTATTTTGCTCTTTAGTCTATTTGTATTTTGGATTTCTCATATAAGAGAAGCTATGTGATATTTAAGCTTGTGTGTCTGATTTGTTTCACTTAACATTACGGTTTCAAGGTGCAGCTATTTTCCCACAAATGACTCAAATTTATCCTTCTTTATGGCAGAGTAGTACCTCATTGTGTATAAACACCACATTTTCTTTATCCATTCATCTGTTGATGGGCATATAGCTCACTTCTAAGATTTAGTTATTATGAACTGTGCTGCTATAAACACATGGTTATTCATGGATCATTGTAATATGAGATCTTTAACTCTTTTGGAGAGATACCTACAAGGGGAATAGCTGGGTTGAATAGAATTTCTAGTTTTAGTTTTTTGAGGAATCTCCACAGTGATTTCCATAGCAGTTACACTAGTTTGCATTCCCACCAACCATGCAGACGGGTCCCCCCCACCCCAGCCTCATCAGCATTTGTTATTATTTGATTTTTTGATGATAGCCATTCTTTCTGAGTAAGATGTAATCTCAGTGTTGTTTTAATTTGTATTCCTGTAATGGGTAGAGATATTGAGCATTTTTTCATGTATTCATTTGTACTTCTTCATCTCAGAAGTGTCTGTTCATTTTAGTTACCTATTTTTTGACTGAGTCTTTTATTTTAGTTCTTTATATATTGTAGCTATTAGTCCTCTGTCTGAGGTGTAGCTGGCAATCTTTTCCCCACTTTTCATGTTGTTTCTTCACTCTGCTGTTTCCTTTACTGTGCAAAAGCTTTTTAATGTGATATGATCCCATTTGTAGATTTGTCATGCTTTTCTTGTGCAATTAGGGTTCTGTTCAAAAAGGCGTGCCTATGCCCATGTCTTTAAGAGTTTTACCTGTTTTATCTTTCAGCAAGTTAACTGTTTCTGGGTTTTTTTGGTATTGGGGATTGAACTCGGGGACCTTGCACCTGTGAGGAAGGCAGCAGAACCAATGAGCTAAATTCCCGGCCCACTGTTTCTGTTTAATATTTAGATCTTTGATCCATTTTGGTTTTAGTTTAGTATGTGATGAGATGTGTGGGTTTAGATTCAATCTTTTGCACGTGGATAGCCAGTTTTCCCAGTGCCCTTTGCTAAAGAGGCTGTCTTTCTTCTAGTGCATGTTTTTGGCCCCTTTGTCAAAGTTCAGATGGCTGAATGTGTCTGGGGTTGTTTCTGCATCCCATCCTCAATTCTGTTCCACTGATCCAGATGTCTATTTTTTTGCAAATACCATGCTGTTTTTAATTACTGTAACTTTGAAATGTAACTTGAAATCTGGGATTGTGATA